ATTCATTATGACCTTACGGGAAAAAAATAAATGATAGCCTTAAGGTATATTTATGGCATTATTTCTCATTTCTCCTTTATAGATCCCCTGTACAAAGGTAGAATTCATTAGTCCTTATTTTTTCCCTTTCTATTTTTCCTCCCTTTAAGTCACTCTCTTCACTAATTCTTCAGTCTACCTATTAAATTCTACCCAAATTCTTCAATGTCCATGTCAGATATCATGTAATCTATTAAATATTCTCCCTCCACTGAGGTCTGATAAAACCCTCCCTCCTCTGAAATATCATTCGTTGTTCTTTTGTGTCTATTAGATACTTACCAAATATTGTTTTGTATTGTAGTTATTTGAGTACATGTCTCCTCTCTCCTCTTGGCATTTAGGCTCCCTGAAGGCAGAGACCATGTCTGGTTCATTCTATAACCCTCTGCCCTGTCCCAACCCCAGTATGTAATTAGGGAAGTTTCTAGCACAGGGAAGCCACTCAATGAATATCAAACAAATACAAATCAAGTGGGAAGAATAAAATGAGGGTACAGATAGCCAAGCTCCAACAAAAATGACTGTACCTATGTGCAAAGAAAAGAAGTTCACGGGATCGTGACAAATGTATTAGTAGGAGAGTGAAATGCTAAAAGGAAATTGAAGATAACTGTCAGTAATTACAAGCCTGGAGGTGATCCAACGACTTCTGCTTTAATTTTCACAAATGATGTACAAACCTCTTGGGACATGGACATAAGCTGCCCCTCTTTGTGTTCCTGAAAAAATAAAAATCAGACTCTCTTTCGATTTAAAGACAATTACCAACTTAACTAAGATTTTTCATTTAAGCAAGATATTCTTCTTAAGATAGAATTCTGTTGGTTTACTACTCTAGTCTGACCATATTTACCATTAAATTGAGTTGATATTTCTCAATTCAAGCAAACTTGCTATTAAAAATTCATTAAAACTGAGGGCAACTTATTTCTAGTCCATTTATCTTGACTATATTATAGCACTCATGAGCATGGACTCAGAAGCCAAAGTGCCTAGGTTTGCATTCTGGCCCCTCCACTCACACTAGCTGTGTGATCTTAGGTATGTTACTTAACACCTCCACCCCTCAGTTTGTCTATAATATGGGATAATACGAGGGTACTTCAAAAAGTTCAAGAAAAAACAGAATGGAAAGATAATACAAATTTTTCCATAAGCTTTTTGAAGTACCCTTAGGGTACTAGTGCTACTTCATAGGGTTATTATAAGGATTAAATGACATAAACTATTAGAATAGTGCCTCACATAGTAAGCTCCATATAAATATTAGCTTCTGTTAGTACTATCATTACTACTATTAATATTACTATGTCTTTTTCTTCTACTACTGCTACTATCACTACCATCACCAGCACCACTACTGCTACCACTACTATGGGAACAGGAGGGAAAATTTCTGATAGATGAAACTAGTTACATTAATATAATGTGCTCCAGATTACAAAGCTCTTTCTCACAACAGCTCTGTGAGAGGTTTTATCCCTCATTTCTAGAATATGAGGCTCAAAGTGATTATTCGACTAGTTTAAACCACACAGAAAATAAGTAAGTAGTACAAGTAAAATTCAGACTCAGGCCTCTGAACTCTTTCTACTGCATCATCTACTGCCTGGAATAATGAGGCTTGAGTAGAATGCCAAGTAATAACTAAAAATAAAGACGGATATAAATATAGCATTCTACCTCACCAGTGGGTAGCAGAAGCCTCTAGATCAAGGGTACGGGAGGTAAACCTCCTCATCTTCCCTGTCCCTATGTCCAAATACATATCCCTACATCCACTCTTCTTCACTTACTCTTGCATATTGCTGAATCACAGGACTTATGTTAGTTCTGAAACAATTTAGTCTGACTACCTCAGATTTAAGAAGAGAATACTGAGTCTAAAGAATAAAACATAAAACCTCTGAAGCTCCCGTTTAAAGAGAATCAAGCTCTATTAACTCTCTTAATATATTGTCTTTCATATTCTCCCTATTTTTACATTCCCATTTTTATCACCTTCATTCAGGTTCTTTACATTGTACTCATAAACTAATAAAACTGCCTCACATCCAATATACTACTGATTTCTTAATCTTCCTGAAATACCATAAAGACTCTGAGATACCTTAAAGGCAAAGACTATTTCTTTATATACTTCCCATAATACCTAACATAAAGTTATGCTTAATAAATAGCTATTAATTTCAAAAATGAGGTTATTGAAGGAAGAAAGGTAAAGAAATATACTTTTCAGGAAAAGGAATTCGCACCAAGATTTTTCTAGCATTTTTATAAATAATATGGAAGTGAAAACATTGAAAAAAGTGAAAATATTGTAATCTCCAAGTTTATAAGTGCTACTTTTCTGACATAAAAAGATTGAATAAGAACCACCACTGTAGTATGAACTTACTAAAAATTGGCCAATATACAAAGAAACAGATTTAGAGGAAAACTGATGCATAAATGATGCATAAATCACTTAGTAAGCAGGGGCCTGAGAGACCACCACATCATATTTCTGAAGACAATAGTTTAATTTACCACAGAGGCCAATAAAATGTTTTTGGTTTTTTTAGATTGCACAAATATTTATTGGGTGCTTATGTGTGCCAGGTACTGGGGTTACAGTGTGATCAACAAAAAACATATCCCTGTCCTTGGGAGGTTTAAAGAGGAAACCTGTTTATAATCTCATAAACAACATAAAACTAACAAATTATATGTGCACAGAGCTCATAAAAAGGGGAAGGAGTTAATTTTGATAAGAAGGGCAGAGAAGGCTTCTCCCCAAAAGTAAGTTTTAAGTTGTGCATGAAGAATAAGCAGGAGTTGGCCAGGAAAGAATGAGATCAATAACTTTTAAGGCAAAAAGAACATCATGTACCTGAGGTGGGAAAAAGCCTCACTTGTTTAGGAAGGGAAAGAAAGCCGGGAGGGCCGAGTGGTATAAGATGAGGCGGGAGGGCAGCCAGATCATAAAAGCCTTCCTATGGATGTTGTCATAGACTATGGATTTTAGCCCAAATACAATGAGAAACCCCTAGTGCCACTGAAGCAAAGGTGCTAAAAACATAAATCATTACTGATCCCATGGAATGTGTACACTTATCTAACTTGACAAAGTTCTACTAGATGCCTCAATACATTAAAAAAAAAAA